TATATATATATATATATATATATTATTTTTCACTATATTGACCGTCTTAACTTAAAAAAAGCTGTTTTTTAAATATTCAGCACAGAAAAACTAGAAGTTGTTTGCTCTAGTTACTTCCTGTAGCAGCATGTTCCTGCTTTTTTTCTGTTTCCTCCTGTTGATTTCCTCTCATGTTTTTCATACTACCTCCTTTTAGCACGTCTTCAGCACCTCCTGTTGTAAAAGCTATAAACTGGTTGATATTTTATATATTGCTGTTAATATTATGCTGCATGTATCCCGTTCTGCAGGGTGTCCGGCGGGGAACTGTTTGATCGTATCATAGAGAAGGGGTTCTACACAGAGAAAGATGCCAGTAAACTCATTCAACAGATTCTGGATGCTGTCAAATACCTCCATGATATGGGCATTGTGCACCGTGACCTCAAGGTCAGTCTGGCCATGCTGCATGCTTTTTATTTCTGCCCCCATTTTAACTAATATTGGATTTCTCTTGTAAGTAACACAAATGTGTTGAATATTGATTATATATTTAGAAAAGACTTGTTCATATGTATTATACCTTGCAAGACTTTCAACCTCTTGAACTTTTTAACATTCTTTCCCATTAGAGCAGAGGTGAGTAACAACTGGTCAATTAATAATAAAAAAGGTTATTTTAGGAGTAGTTTACTATACTGTACTTATATTTTAACTTGAGTAAAAGCTTTCAGCTTGTTTGTCCACAGTGAGCAGCTTATTGTACCTTATTGTAAGGATCGGTGTGATGTTGGAGAAAATGGATAGAGAAAATTTTTTCTTCTGCATTAATTTGTCATTTTGTTATCATTTTATTTATTGTGTTTTTTATTTATTTCAGTCTGGAAAATAGGACATAATGTCTAATTGCACCGTTAGGTTTTACACACTTTAATGGTCAGTACTTAAATAGCTTTTCTAACAAATATTGTTTTTTACTCTTGAGTAATTTCTTGAAGGACTACTATTTATTTTTAATTGAGTTTGTGCTATTAATAGCGCTACTTGAGTGAAAGTTTTGAGTACATTATTGTATTTTTGATTCTTTGGGGGATTTCATGTTAAAAACAATGAAAAATAAGTTAGCAGATTGTGAAGCTTTAGGAAAAGAAAATGGTTTTGTGACACTACTTCATGTCTGTCACATAAAATACATTTGTAGGTTAATGTATTTAACTGTAAAGCACATATAATAGTAAAAATTATTTGATAGTGTCAAGGTTTTATTAAAGGTTTGTGTAGAATGGGGGTTTAAAACATTTTTTTTCATCTTCTACATATAAGAGACGGTGCTTTAAACGCGCCTCTGTATCTAATTATGTCTTTCTCCTCATCTTACAGCCAGAGAACCTGCTGTACTACAGCATGGAAGAAGACTCAAAAATCATGATCAGTGACTTTGGTTTGTCAAAGATTGAGGGCTCTGGCAGCGTGATGTCGACAGCCTGTGGAACGCCTGGATATGTAGGTAAGATTCAGAGACAGAGGCAATCTGATTTACTCATCCCACAAATCATGTAATGCTGCATCTTTCTATGTTGAAAAAATACTGAAACATTTGTAATGTGCCTAAAAGCAGAGCGGAAAGAATTCCCAAAATTTGCTCATCAGGCATAGGATTTTTTTAAATATATATATATATATATATATATATATATTCTGCATTAAAACCTGCAGTCTATTCTCTTCTCTTTTTCAGCTCCTGAAGTTTTAGCACAGAAACCGTACAGTAAAGCTGTGGACTGCTGGTCTATTGGGGTCATAGCATATATTCTGTGAGTACAAGTTTTTGGTGGCGACCATCTGCAGGACATATACCCTTACTTACTCTATGAATCTAAAATAAGTGGTGATGCAATAACTGCATATATTCACATTTAGAAATCTGATGTAGGATCAGTTTTTTACAAGTATTGGATTAAAAATAAAAGAAACAACAGGGTAAAGTCACAAATTTTAATATCAGTATTTATTTATTGGTTATGATTGATCTCATAAAAGGATGAAACTATTAAATAAATAGTGATTAGTTTTAGGTGGCTATTTTGCTATTGAGTTAAACATAATTTTAATATAGGCATAGTTTTATTGTTTCACAAGGAATTTGTTCATCCCTTATTCAAAAAATTATTTAAAAAAGCAGCACGCATAGACTTACGAGTAGACAGTGGTGGATAATGTACTCAACTTAAGTACTTGAGTAAAAGTACTGAAACTGATGGTCAAATTTTACTTTACTATTTGTGTAAGTTACTTGGTCAAACATTTACTTAAGTTAAAGTAATGAAAAGGACCTTACATTTGAAAGTACTTAAGTATTCAAATGTACAAATAATAATATATAAATATATATATGTAAATATATATAATAATAATAATAATAATAATATATAAATAATAATTCAGCGTAATTTTAAAGAACCTGTAACTTTCAGAAACCATCTGATGTATTGATGTGTAAAACCGCTCTTCTGCAAATTCTACACTACTTATAAAGAACATCAACATAGCTATTTTAATTTTTTATTTAAAAACGCAAAACTAATACAGGAGAGTCTTGATTCTCCTCACACTTTCACTATGGAATAGAGATTTAAAGGTTGAATCTATTACTACAAAAAACACATACTCTGATTTGAGAACTCCTCCTACTGAACAACTCGGCCACATGGGAACAAATAATGCCTTAATAAAATTAATAAACTACAAACTGTCTGCTTTGAGTTTTTCCAAAGTTGTTGAATGTCATTCAAGTCTCTAAAACATCAGTGTCCAAATTCAGACTTGAATGGCTGCTGTCTGCCATGTTTTAGTTCCTCTCTCTTGTGGTAGTTACTGCCTCCTCAGCACTGCAAAGTCCTGCATTTCCCTGCTAATGAGCTACCAATTGATTCAGGTGTGTTGAAAAAGAGAGATTCAAAAACATCCAGCATACCTGTTCTTAAGGATGAACTGTGTGAGAAACATTATTGAAAAATTGCCTTTTAAGAAGGAAAAACAGCAACAGGGGATTACAAAGCTGAGCTGAGCCAAAAGGAACAAGTGACGACTAACTTCCTGGGAATCTATTAATGTTGGATTTACAATATTTGACTTTGAAATGCAGTGGATTGAAAGTTGTATATTCCCCATGAAAAAAAAAAAAAAAGCAATTACTCAACTGAAGTAAAGATAGTCAAAAAATGTACTTAAGTAAACTAATGAACTAAATATACTCCATTACTTTCCACCACTTCAAATAAATACAGTTTTTTTGTTCTTCCATGTAATCATGTAACTATAGTAACAGGTACTGTAGGTGTCCAGCCATATGTTTTCAGCTGGACTGCTCAACTTTTAATGTTGTTAACTCTGAAAAATGTTGCCGAAATACGTAAGATTAAAGGGGTCATAGAATGATTATATAGGGTTCTTGGTGCTGATCCTTAAAGGGGTTAAAGGGGCTGGTCCTTAAGGTCTCTGAATAGGGTGTGTAACATTGTTTGGGCTGAAAATGGCATATTTGCTGTTCTATGAGCCCTAATTCAAGCCTGGTTAAAAAGCCCCAGAATGAAACGACAGGTTTTCTTCCTTTTGTGGTATGCTCATGAATATTTAGATGAGTTGTGCTCTGATTGGTTGGTTTACAACGAGCGAAGCTGCTGAGCAAAGACGCATCATAGCAACAAGCACTCACTCACTGAAACATCAAATTGTTGATATGGTAGGATGACCCAACGTCCTCCTTTTCCTGGACATGTCCTACTTTTCATAACTAAAAAAATGTCCGGGGGGAATTCAAAATCATCAGGGATTTTGGTCGACTACAGTGGAACCACCACTGCTGAGGTCCGGTCCAGTCAGCGACCCAGCAGTCTTTCCTACTAAACTTTAATAAATAAAGAATGCACATTATGTTTATTTCATTTTAGTTATTGCTTCTGTTTTGGAACCATTGTTGTAATCATGGCATGAACATTGAAGAACAGTTATATAAATAAAAAAACTTCTGATTCTGAAGAGGCTTATTCATTGGATTTAAAGTACTTAAAAACTTTTAATAGGGTGTTAAAAATACTTTTTTATCAGGTTAATTTTTCTGTATTATAATGCTTCGTTATGGGTTTAGTCTAATGTTCTGATATTTGATGGTGTTTTTTTTTAACCTGTAAGCAGATGGTCATACACATTAACATAAATAAATGCCAAATAAAATATTCAAATGTATTAAATATGATTGTATAGTGTAAGTTAGGAACCAATGAGCTGTTCTCTCTTCTTTTATTTTAGGCTGTGTGGATACCCTCCCTTCTACGATGAAAATGATGCCAAACTGTTTGAACAGATCCTGAAAGCAGAATATGAGTTTGATTCTCCTTACTGGGATGATATCTCTGATTCAGGTACATTGCATTAGAAAAACCAATTAATCTGCCAATATAGTTTTAAGATCTCTTTAGTACTTAAGGTTTTTCTTATGCCATGCTTGAAGCTCCATCTTAAATTAAACACAGGATTTTTTGCAAAACTTGAGCAACGAAACATATATGTTTTTATCCTATTTATATATTCAGATGAATTTTAAAACAATCTGATTTTAATTGTAGAATCAATCAAAGAAAATATTAATGTAAAAACTTTAAGGATTGGAACTTAGAATTAGAATTAGAACATGAATAACATGAAAAGGTTTTTTCAGGTTTGTTAAGCTGTTTGTAATAAAACACTACATAATTGAGGATAATTGGGTTCATGTTGTACCTTCTTTTAACATGTTAAATTCAGAGGGGTTTAGAACTGATTTCCACCTGAAAGATAAAGAATATCTCCACTGTTACCAGGTGGTAAAGGTTAAACCACAAAGTCCAAAATCCACTTATGATAGAATAAGGTTATATTTGCCAAGCTTCAATTTTAAAAGTGTTTTGACAGAATGTTTGAGCGTAAATAGAAGCTCAGCACGGGAAGCAATGATCTGACATAAACAGACGGGACGCCGCCTACCTGCAGCAGCAATGAACTACAAGAAATCCAGATGTTAGCAATTGATGCAACTACTTAATGAGTCCTTAAGGGCTGGTTATACACCATTGTGTTGCAGTGAGCTTGTCGAAGATATTTTTGATATATGCCCAATTCTGAAGCGTGGTCTGCGCTATGTTATTCCACGCCACAACACAAGAGGGACAATCACAAACTAGCTGTGGGTCTGGATACGGCCATGGCGGTGAGGAAGTGGGGGAAAGTTTGTGTGACAACGGAGGGACATGAGGTCGAAAAAGAGCTGGAATACAGGTTGAAAAAGGGTCCCAATGTTCTCTCACACCTCACTCTTCTGGCTGGTCCATCTTCATGAGTCGTTTTCCACAATGTCGGTCATACAAACAAAACAAGCCGGTAAGGTACCAAACAGGAAATACGCATAGAACGTATGTAGATTTGACCAATCAGATACCTCACCGACAATTTTGGAGGGGTGTAGTAGAGTATCCGCGGAAGGGGCGGGGGGCACATTTGCATTTACTGTGACACACGCAGACGCCTGGTTTTCTGAGTATAAATCAGCCTTTACTGTGCTTCAATGCCTTGATAAAACTGACTGCTCAGAGGAACAGGCTTAAAAGCATTGCTAACACCAGTAGCACTATTAGCAAGGACATGTACTCACATGTTTATTAACTTTACAGTGACATCAGAAAGCTTCCTGAGCTTTAGCTCCAGCTTTAGTGAACTCTGATGGTTCAACTGTTTTCCAAGCTCAACTCCAGTTTTTTCCCCTTTGGAATCAAATGATTAAATAATTGCATTTTATTGATCTCACATTGGAGAAATTTACCTCTGCATTTAACCATTGGGAACCTTGGGGAGCAATGGGCTGCCATCATGGGGCACCCGGGGAGCAATCTGAGGTTAAGGGTCAGAGATATGGAGGGGGTTTGAGCTCACAACCCCAGGATTTCAAGCACTAAGCCATAACCACTAGGCTGCCACTCCCCCAATCACGCATCATCCTGCTCCTTTCACACTGGATATTGCATTTTCATTTATTTGTTTTGCTAGTACTCGCTCGCCTCCATTGCTTTAGCTTGTTGACCAACTGAATGCATGGGCAGTGATGTAATCCTGGTCAAATGATGTTGTTATGGTAATATATACACAGAAAGGCTGTATTTAATAACAAACTGAGCAAAAGCAAAGCTTAACAAACACAAAACAAATACCGGCCCTGTTTAAACAACAGTCATTTTCTTCATAAATGTCATGTTTAACCAGAGTGAGTTGCTGCCATCTACATTTTATAAATTTTATACAATATAACATTTTTTATTCTGTCTGTATTTTCACAGCTAAAGACTTTATTGTGCATCTTATGGAAAAAGATTCGAACATACGTTTCACCTGCGAGCAGGCTCTGCAGCACCCCTGGTATGCCTGCTATGTTCAGTCCTTGTTTTTCACACTTTATTTAAAACTCTTCAATTCATCTCCTTAGAAATCTGTTATGAAAGCAAAATAACCTGACTCTGTTAACTCTTTTCTTCTCTGTGTCAGGATTGCTGGGGATACCGCCCTGGACAAGAATATTCACGAGTCTGTCAGTGCTCAGATCAAGAAAAACTTTGCAAAAAGCAAATGGAAGGTCAGTCTGAATCCCACAGTTCCCTTCCAAAATTAACCCAGATTTAAGAGCTTTCTCTATCGCTTTGCAGCAAAAAGCTTGGACTTTAAAATAAAAAGAAAGCAATAAATATTTTCTAAATCTTTCTTTTGAAATGGGTAGTTGCATTTTCTTTCAGCTCACTTTATTTGAAACCTCCAGGATAGAGACCAGTGCAACCAAGGGCCAATCTGTTGCAAATGTTTGCAGCAATATTAGGTTATAGTTCAATCTTCCAGGCTTTAGCATACCATATAGATCTGTTTAATTGATTATTATCTGAAATTACAAAGCAGATGAGTTCATCTTTTCCTATTAAAATATGGCTCTTCCCCAAAATTGACAAACCTAAGCTTGGAGAGCATTAATTATCCTGTTCTAACTCTAAAGGAGTTGCAGAGATACAGGAATCAGGCAGAAGAATCTTTAATATTAAATGTTTAATTCACCAATATGAGATTTATGGAAGAGTATTAGCCCTGCAAAATATTTAAATATAAGTAGTTTTTTCTTAAAATACGTTAATTTTTTCTTGAATTGGGGAGGTAAGTGAGACACTTTGCCAATGGAACAAGACAATTTACATTTAAAATAAGAACAAAAACAATTGCATTGTATTATTTCAAATGCATATTATCGAATTATCTTATTTTAAGAGTAAGAAAAATAATTAGAATTATTTACCTGCTCTAATTAAGGCTAAATACACTTAATTTAAGAAATTTTTATTTATTTCTAGATCGTTTTTGCAGTGAGGAAGACTCTTCTGTCTAAAAGGATGATATCCCCATGTACAGTTTGCTACAAGCTATTTGAGGAGCACAGCATAAATGTGAAAGACTAGAAAGGAAAATGCTGTACATACAGCTGGGAAATGGATTGTGCAAACTGTAGAGCAAAACTGAAGGAAAACATGTTGGAGATTGCAAAAGACTTTATTTCTGGGTGGAGGATAATCTACTCAGGGGCCAGTGGCCCTAAATTTGCAAACAAAACGAACCAGAGACAAAAGGGCATGCTTAAGATTGAAGTGTGTTTATGTTTTAGAAAAGCACAGCAAAGTCCAGACAAAAGTGCAAATCTGTCACCAAGATTTTAAAGTACTCTTCCTAGACATCTCCTCTTACACTGCAAAAAAATAATTTACATAAGTGTTTTTTTTGTTAGAATAAGTGCATTTTTTCTTGAATTGAGGAGGAAAGTTAGACATTTTGCCAATGGAGCGAGACAATTTACATTTGAAATAAGAAAGAAAATACATTGTCTTTTCAAGTGAGTGAAAACACTTACCCCATTGGCAAACTATCTCATTTACCCACTGAAATTAAGGATAAATACACTTAATTTAAACTTATGTTTATGTATTTCTAGATCATTTTTCCAGTGTATCTTATTGAGCTAATTTACAAAGAAACATGTTCATGGTTTCAGTGTCTAACTGTCTAATGTTCTACAGTATAGACTCGGGGAATCCAAATACACACCACACTACAGTACACACTAAACAACAATACTATTTTAAAAAGTCCCCCTGTAGGAGCCTTCTTAGCTTTTCTTGTTAGCTTGTTGGAATATTTCAATGCGCTTTCAAATTTGTAGCGCAACTAAATTAATTGTAATATTTTTCATGTGCTTTTTTTGTTTTTGTTTGTTTGTTCGGATGCTGCAGCAAGCATTCAATGCCACAGCAGTGATCCGTCACATGAGGCGCCTCCAGCTGAGCACCGGCAGTGAAGGCCCCAGCCCCACCATGCCCGATGCATGCCAGGCTCATCTGCTAACGCAGGAGGAAGGTAATGGTCCCCATCTGTTTACGTCTACCCAGTAATTAGTTTTTTTAAATTTATTTAGTTACTGTTGATGTTTTTTATTTTTATTTTTTCTATTTCAGAGGCACTCTGTGAAGGTGGATGCTCCCAGAACACGGACGGAGGTGCTGACGCTCTGTCAAACTGCACCTACCGCTGCCACCCAGCCAACAGTGTGTGATAGTTAACCCACTTCATTTACCTGTCAATCCCAAGTCAACTTTCCAATTTTAACCCCCCCCCCCCCTTCTCCCTCCCCTCGGTGGAACCTGAGGCACCGTCTCCCCCTGCTTGTCTGGCTGGGAAAGCGGCGCCATTCCAACCTGTTGTCTGCAGGGGGAGCAAGACGGTTGAGTCTGAGAGGGAAGACATTTGAGGTGTTGAAAAGGTGGAGGGGGGAGACTTGCTGTCATGCTTATGCACCATGGCAGATCATTTTAGGGGATGAGTTGAAATAGATCAAAAGGAAGAAGGGAAGACACCCCCCTTCCTCCTTCAGGTTGGGGGGGATTATTTTTTTGTGTGCAAAAAGCAAGACAGCGTTTGCTGGACGTTTTATTTTAATAAAATGTTTTCAATTTGTCTTTTTATTTGTTTGTTTTATCCTTTTGTATTTTTGTGTTATTACCTTCCTCCTTTAAGAGACTTTGGAGTGTTAATCGCAGTACAGTGTCTGCATGACAAGGAGACTGCCCTCCCCCTTTGCATGATGTACTTTAAAAACACGCACTGTATTGTTGAAGTACGACCTCACATTATACCAGTGAAACAGGATATTTGGAGATGTTTTAATGACACGTGTTGGTATTACAGATTTGCATTTTATGTCTTTAAATCAACTGGTGGCAGAACGGTCCATCTAATGAAAAGGACACCATGCAGTTATTTGTGATGTAGCCTCTTCCATTACAATGTTTTCATGAAGTGTTCAGGATTTTGGGGAGGAAAAAAGATTTCCCTCTTCAGCCCCCCAAAAAAGTTCAAACTTCAGCAACAGCAGATGTATTCTCGTCTAAGGTGCCTTTTAGTATATATAGTTTTATGAGGTGGTAGCTTTGCTTAAATAGTGGTTTCTAAGGACAGATTGTTTCTCATATAAACCTAGAGAAGGTTTACCATAGGTTGGATGCACAAACCAAAATAACTATTTAAAAATCTCACAAAAATCATAGTTAGGAAGAATTAAAGTGTGGAAAAAAGTATTTTTATATCCCGTCTGTAAGATGAGTTAAACTTGCATTAAAAATACTTCATAAAAATATTAAGATAACATTTTTAGGAATAATTTATCTTAGGTCTGCAGGCTGTTGCTGTGTAACTAGAGTCTTGTTATCTTAAATTTTAGGTGAATGACGGTTAAGAGTCACACCGATTATCCAAAAAAAAAGAGATTGATCTGGCTTCGTAAAAACAAAATATCACCAGGCATGTAAGCCACTATAAATCCATAATGAAGAAAACATTCCTAACATTTCATTACAGCTCTAGCTTAAAGCTCGAATAACTATTTTACCAGATTGTTTTTTAAAGAAATATTCAGTTTATTGACTGAGCTGATGCAGCTCATTTTTCAGTCCTGGTAGAAAAGATAGGCTAAAGGACTTTGTGCTTCTAAGCCTGAAATGAATCTGTCCTTATGATATATTGTAAAAATGTCAAAGTTAATTGGATAATTGCTTGTATTCACACAAAAAAAAAAGGTTAAAAGTTTTTGTAAATATGGCTTGTTAGATCTCAAATGTTGCAGAATGTTCACCTCTGCTTTTCCAAGGTATTTTCCCCAGCCTTATGTACAAAAAAAACAAAACATCAAAAATCTGCTTTAAATAATTTATGCATCAGACTAAGATAAAAGTTTACTCAGTCACACATAGAATTTTTTGGCATTCTTTTCTTTTTGTAAAATACTTTACTTTGCACATTTTAAGATATCTATTCTTTTAACGCATGTTTCTAGCGCTGTTTACCATACTTATTTTTGTACTGGATGTAGAGTTGCTTTATGCAAATGTTTTTGAATGATTTGCTGGGAACCCAGTGCGAAAATCCAACTGGCTTAAATAGACAGGAGAAATTAGAATCTTACTTAGTTGTGAGCTTTGTTCACTCTGACCCTTTTATTCTTTCCTACTGATAATCACTGTTTATATTAAGGCTCCTGCTTTTTTTCTCTCAAATGTCAGTATTTGGTAATTGCTCTTTATGCTGGATGGATTTACCTGGGAAATTGCTGATATTGCAAAGGATGATCATAAAGGGAGAGATTTTGCCGTACTTAAAATCCCACATAAGGTTAAAGAGCTTATAAAAGTGTAATAACATTTCAAAAGGTTTACTAATCTTGAATGTGCTGCTTAGGAAAGTATCTTTGAGCTTTGCTATGCAGGTTTATTGGGTCGTTCTTGTGATGTATTCCGACTGTAACAAAACTGGTGACTCCACACTGCAAAGTGCATTTAATAGAGTCATTATTTTTGCAGGAAAAAAAAGAAGTTCAGTGTGATTAGTGTGTTTGTTCTGAAGTACTGTAACATTGAAGCAAAAGAAGCACAGGGGAGCTCAGCGAGAGTCAGCCTGCTGACAGCTGACTCGATTTACATCTGATGTACTGATGACAATTAAAAGAACTTTACTATTTTGAATTAGTGTTATGTCTTTATTTGCATTTTTTTCTCTAATCATTTCTTTTGAAAAGGGATACAATTTTCCTCTTGTGTTGATATTCTGCATGCTTATGACATTGCAAAAAAAATATTAATTAAAAGTGTTAAATTAACCTCTTCTAACTGAGAATTTTGGAGAAATCAGGGATTTTTAGTGGGAGTACTTTTGATACTTTGGACTTTCACTACTTTGTTAGCACCTCACAAGGTTGGAGTAAATAGTTAGAGGGACCTTTGACCCCTCCATAAGGAAAAATCTCTCTGATAATGGCTTCTCTACGCTCATCTCACACATTTCTCTTTTAGACCATAGGCTTTCAGGCGGTTTACTCCTAAAAGACCATTTAAAGTATGTTTTCTTTTTGTCAAAATCAAGCGTTTATTTACATTTTTATGCCTAACCATGTGCATGACGTGCTACGCCACATATTTATTATTTTATTCAAACCAGACCCAGCAGGATTGTTGTAACTATAAAGCTTCATAGTTTCATCTGACTTGAGCCTACCATTTCCGGTTAAATTGCCATGATCACATATGTGATGAAAGGAAAGATGAGTTCTTTTAAATTTTTAAATGATAGCTCTGAATATAGATTTATTACAAGTTTAGTCCAATTGTTTTTTTGTGATGATCAAGGCACATCTGTAGACTTGATTGGCATGCTCTCCAGTCTTTGCCTTTATGAAGAGAAGCTAAAAGTGATCTACCTCTGTTCCAAATCATATTTGTACTCCATGGGAACAAGAAGTCATGGATTATTTTTGAAACGTTTGTAGACTGATTAACTTAATGTGTGAACCTCTTATTGTGTGCATTTGTGAAAAACTGATATTATTTAACATTTTTTTTCCCTTTGAATGAATGCGCTTAAATTAAAAGAAGGATTAAAAAAAATTCTTTTAGCTTTTAATGGTATTGGGGAGGCTTTTCATTCAATTTTTGAAACGACTTAAAAAAAAAATGCACATGCACAACCCTGTACCCGCTCCCAAGAGGGAACGCCTACTAAATGCTTGCAAGGGCACGTAGGAGCCCATTTCCTCTCTTGCACTCTTTGTTTAAAATGTGCTGTCTGCATCGTTCATACAAGCTCACTTTCCAAAATGAGATCTGGAATTTTTCCACTTTGTCAGACTCACCACTGGTAGTGAAAATGGGGACAAGCGCATAGGACGGCCTTACGTAAACATATCACCAGAATGATTGATAATTAGGAGGACCACTTATTTAGATGATCGACCCAGAAAGAGAACATCTTCCTCTATACCTTTAAGTCCCTTTTAACACATTTTACCCAGAGCACCCTCCAAATGACAGTGGAGGGTGCTCTAAAAGGGTGCCCTTGGGCTCACTGGCAGAAATGAGGCTACCATACACTAGGGGCACCGGTAATTCGTGTGACTTGCTTCACAAATCAGTATTTTTGTCATAAGCATTTAGCCTTTATGTGTGGGTGCCTGATTATCTGCTGTAAACATGGATCTATATTATGAAAGAAGTTACATCTATTATCTAAAAACCAGCAACTTGAAACACTTTCTATCTTGCATGGCGCTTTTCCACCTAATTTAAATCCCTATTTATTTTTACACACTTCACGGTCAATTTGTAGTTTATGCTGAAAACAGTAATACAGGCTGGAAATAATTTAGTCTGTTGATCTGCCTCTCTGGAATTTCAGTAAGTAATGCTTTTCTCTGTAGCTCAGTACTGTTTAACTTCATTCCATCAAATGGCCTTGTGGCCTCTTGGAGCTTTGTCATGACGGTTTTACTTCACGTTTTACCATGAGAGGCCTCTCTCGTCCTCCCCAAAGAATGCTGGACAATTACGGCCTGTGGTTTGGCTCCTGGGAGGACCCAGCGAGCAGAAGACGAGGTTAAGCGTGGTGGTTGCCCTCACCCAGCAGACAGTAGATGGAGTAAAAACGATGTGGTCCACCCAAAAACAAAGGATTGGTTTGAGATAATGAGAGGGATTCTTTGTGGATTACAAGGTGGAAAATGTGCTGAGAGACGCGTGTTTGGATGTTTTAGATTGGAAAATAAAGTAAGATCATGCCAAAAGTGCAGAAAAACCACACATCGAGATATCTGTTTTCAGTTTAACTACAAAATAAAATCCTCTGCATGGAGATAAAAATTCTGCTTATGTTGCATCCTCCTCACAGAGCAGGCTGCTGCCCATGCCTGTGTGGAATGTGAAACAGATTTGATTGAGAGATGAGCCAAGACATCCACTGTGATGATCGACTGGGCCCTGTCACTTGTGGGAGCTGATTTATTTCTGCGCTGCTGGTAATTTAAATCGTACAGAAGGGCTGAAAACAAATTGCTGATGAGGGAGTCTGAGAAGATTTATGAAGCAGACAGTATCCTGTGAACAAAGTCACAAAATCAGAATCGCATCTGCTGTGGATGTGAGCAGAGATATATCAAACCAAAGAGGAACTGCTTTAGATATAACCATCATGTGACGTTTTTGCAGTTTTTCTACCTGTCATATCCTAAAGCTCTTTGTAAAGGTATCGACACCCCTTGAACTTGTTCACATTTATTGTTTTTTATGAACTCTAACAGGATTTAATGTAATGAACCAACACAACATAGGGCAAAAAAACATTTTTAAAATATGTCCTACAACTTACCATCTGATATTGTTGAGTTAAACCTCTAAACACACAGAACAGCTGGATGTAGACTAAAAGACAAAGTACACACAGCTGGACTCTATTTATTCATTAGGCAATTCCTGATGACAATTAACTGTGGTAGATTCAGGGTTATCACAATACAGGATAGTGAACACACAATTTCTGATGTTATTACTAAATTAATACAATAAGTACTTTACTATGGTTCCCCTTCAGAATGAAACGTCTTTTCAATAAAAAAAACATTGTTGTTTGTGGCTATGATTTGTCA